AGTAGTACAGCTATTTCCCATTCTAGGTCCGGCATTTAAGCAAAATGAGCCAAGCTACAACTGAGTCCATGAAAGTCCTTTTAGGTTTCAGAATAGGCTCACAACATTATCCTTCCTGTAAGGATCCTGCATCAGATTGTAATACCTTGCACACAATGGGAAGACGCAGTGTACCTAGAAAGTGCTGTTTGCTGTTACCAGTTTCTACTGAAGTCAGAAGATGCTGGGAGCTGCATCCTGACTCTCTGCCAGTACTTGGTCTGTGGAGCCCATACGAGTTCCCTCTCTAGGGTTTACTGCTAATTCTTGATGCTTTTGGAGAGTTTTGTCTTATCTTCTCAGCAATTTTAATTGTCAGTATAGAATATTTCTTGTCTTATATTTGACATGCAAGTGGGCTGAAATCCAAACTTTCAGGAGCTTCTATTTGTTTTTTTGTTTTTTTTTTTTTTTTTGCTGGTGGTTGTTGTTTGAGAGTTGCTTTTTTTTATTATTTATTCAGGAAGATGACAAAGCCATACTCTGCTTTTTTCATCTGCAATACAGGTGTAATACAGGTATCTAGTCTCACTTCAGTTGTCTGAGTGTGTCCAAGACATTTGAAGAGGGCTGGCAAATATAATACAGACTTAGGGCATACCTGGAAGATGACAGGGGACACATTTGTTCAGGCAGTGGAGTTGCCTGCATGTTGCTATGATTTTCAGAGGTTGTGTATGTACCCTAAAGGTACTATGGTTTCAATAAAAGATAGGTATTCCCTAATGAGACTGGAGGGGCAGAGAGATCCATGTGTTTCCACATCCAGGAAACATAAGGCTGCAGACCTTTGTGGAACGGCTCTTTAGTGACAGGAAAGGCAAGTCCTGTGCTGCTTTTCTGCATTTTATAGTTCAACCAACCTTTTTATGTTTAGCTGGATGTTTGTCAGTGAAGCTGCGGGAGGGTTTGATAAGGTTACTATCTCTGCATTTGTATCCTACAGGATGCTTTTTTGCTGAGCGAGGTGCAACTCCTGATTAGGTGAACCAGTTGCTTCATTATCTTTTGGCAGAAAGAAGCTGTACTGTGACGCTAAACTGAGTGTTGCAAGAGTAACGGTAGCTTGTGGTCCTGTGTCAGGCAGCCTTCTCCACTAAAAGGTGGTTGCTGCAGCAAATGGCCAGAACCGCAGCTCGTTGCCTCCTCCAGAAGGCTGGCTGCTGATCGGATTCCTGTGGACAGAACCTCAGGCTTCTGCTCCAACGCTCCGTGGCCTTCTCCCTCGCTGGTGTTTGACCCAAGGGACCATCGCTCAGCGGGCATGCAGACGTGAGATGAGTAAATCCTTTAGACAGATGGAGTTTTGAAGGCTTTAAGACCAGTGTTATTTCCTGAAATGACTGCAGTACCGTTTTGCTCTAAGGAAATTTATCTTCACTTTTGATGCCAAAACTGGTGCAGTTTGGGCAGAACTGACTTCGCTGTTAACTTTCCATGTCCTGTGGGGAACGTCCTGTCAGGTTGTACTCTGTTCTGATTGACTGGGCAGCCAGCTAGTCTTTGATTAAAAATGTTTCTTACTTTGTAATGAAATTCTCATTTCCAAAGAAAACGAAATTTTCAGTCTAAACCAGCCAACTAATTTGTCAGTACTTCCAACTGGCTTTGTCCGAAGTGAAATTCAAACCTTGAAGAATTAAAGTCCTTCCATGCAGCACCAAATATTAGTCCAACCAGAGAGGATAAATAATGCCAGCAAATGGTGTCTCTTGTGTGCCTTTGTGTGTTGTTTTTTTTTTTTAATAATTGTCAGCTTTAGTTCATCAAAAATAATTTTACACTTGGCTTCCCTGATTTTTAATTAGGATTTGTCACGTAAAGCTATAGCCAGGGAGCTCTTGGACACTTTGAACAGGAAGCAGGTAAACAATCAGCTTGTTCATGAATACCTCTCTGCTTTGCGTATGTTTGTTTTCTCAAGTTGTAATTATCCGGCGTAGTCCTAGGTGGTTCTGCTACTTGCCTCCTCCTGCCTTGATAATTTTTTCTACATTTTTCATCTCTCCCGAGAACTCTATTTTTAATGGTTAATTTAAAGGAAACGTCTTGTGTATTATAATGTGTATTCTGATTAGTACACCTAATTGCAAAGAGTACATTACTTTAAAAGAAAACGAACAAGGCCATATTTTTCAGCTCAGTTTCATTTGCACACTTTTTTTGAGCACGAGGAATTGTGAGTACAGCCAGTGGCAATGTAATACCTGGTATTTGGACAAATTTAGAAAATTGGTTTTGCCTTCAAGTGTACAGCCAATTTGTATCCACAGATTGTACCATGAACAGAAGAGCCTTTGTGTAAAGATGGGTTTTAAAAATCTCAGTTGTTGTGTTACTGCATGTTTTATATTGGGGAAGAAGTACTAGTGAGGGTGAGTTGGGCTGGAGGAAAAATGTGCTCATGTGGGGAGTCAGAGATAGTCAAAGCGGTTTTGTTAAATTAAGTTTCTTTACTTTGCTAATGGCTTAATAATGTTTAAATTGACCAAATTTGGTACTTTATAGTAAATGTTTTTCCTAATGTCTTCATATTCTTTGAGGGGTATTTATTTTTCTAATGTGATCTGCTTTCCTTTTAATCCTCTTCTATGTGGCCAGTTGCAGGGTCTGTCCTGAAAAAGAGGTAGTAAAAATAAGTTTTGTCTTTGAGAGCTTTCATAGGATAACAGGAAACGGCTCAGTGATGGATACCTAGGGAAGCTGTTACAAACATCCATTAAAAATTTATCAACAGCTTTGATACCTTCAACATATATTTATTTTTCAAATATATTTCCATTATACATTAATATAATGGTCCACTGCAATGGAAGCTGTAGTGGTCCACTTGGATTCTCCCCTTGGTCTGTTGAGGTGCGAGGAGGTTAGTTGCCCTGACGTTCTCCTTTTCCAGTTTAGCCCCGGTTCAGCGGTCTGAAATTACAGATTTCTGCTCTTACACTACCCTTCATTGGCCTGACACATTTTTTCCATGCGGGTGTGACTGTAGAACTGAACTTGGTTCTAGAAAATGATGTGGATTTCTGCACGAAGACTGTGGTCTGTACATGAAACTTCCATGGGTAGTAGAGGGAAGGTAGAAGAAGAAAAGACATTAAACTTGTGTAAATTATTCCAACTTAAAAGGGTAGATCCTCAGAAGTATATCTAAAACCCATCAGTTACCCTGACCCAACACACGCTGCAGTGACTTGGGCACGTTCTGTGGGTGCTTTACCAGGCTACTGAAAGGAAATTGGTAAAGGAGTTGTTTATAATTAAAATCTAAGGTCCTTGCTGGTTCTTTTATCTCTCTTGAAAGTGGGAAGGAAAATAATTTCCTTCCCCCTGCTGAGTGATAAACTATTTTGTTTGAAATACGTTTGCTCCATAGCAGAGATCTCGCTGTTGCCCTCAGAAGAACTGAGTGTGGTTGGCAGGGCAGTGTCCGCACCAGGCTGATCCTGGCTGCCATTTCAGTTCAGGCAAAGTCCTCACAAATAAACAGGTATTTTGTTGAGCTTCTTAAATGCATAATGTTCTCAGAATAGCTACTGAGCTACACTATTCTTGTCCAGTCTTGCTCCAAAAGTGTCTACCTGTGGAGTTATTCAGGAATATGTATTGTGCAGAATCTTTGTGCCTTATTGTAATCCAAATTAACTTTCTGCTGCTTGGAGCTTGTATTTCTGTGTGGACAGCGGAGTGTTCACAAGCCCTTCAGGGAGCATAAGCTGTCACTGCCACTAACAGATGTAGCTCCTGTCACTGTACCCAACATAATATTTCTTCTATTTCTTTTCTTGTGCCAGGAAAAAAAAAAAAACCAAACATTTGTGCAGCATGTGGCAGGCCCATTCAGGGAACTGATCCAGCAGAGGAATCAGCTCAGCACAAAAAACTGATTTTTGAGGGGTTTTTTTGGATTAGCTGCCTGATTGACTTCACCATGCAACTCCCTGAACTTGAGTTGGTGGGGAGGGAGCTAGGCTGCCTCAGCTAGTACTTGCCTATGCAACCTGGAGTGTCTGGCGTGGTAACTTAACAAAGTAATTGTATCTGCTTCCAGAATTTGTCTTGTAGCAGGCTGGGTACAGCCTGTTGCAATGTGTATGAAGCATTTTTAGATTCTTAGTCAGACGTTCTCTAGAGAGATGCTATTTCTATCTTTATCCACCTGTTACCAAATGGTTTGCCAACATAAGATGATTTTAAGGACGCTTAGCTACAAAAATGTCCCCCCTCTCCTCCCGGTAGGAAACAAGTAATCCAATGTTTTCATATAATGACCAGGTCAGTGTTGTAAGACATCATACAGACAAGTGCACTCTGAATACCCTGAAGCCCATCTGTTCCCAAACAGCTGAGGTGGGAAGAGTTGTGTTGATTTTTTTTTTTCTCTCATCTTTTGGGATCTAAACAGGGATCACTGTTTTGATGAGGATTCTGAACCATTTGGTTATCAATTGGAGAATCCCATACACCTGCATCATCTGATTCTCATATGGACGTGGGAGGCACCTGCTGACTGTCCCAGCTGCCTGGCTGGATTAGATGGATTCATAGTGCTTGCTGCTCCACAATTTTTGCGACACTGCTCATCTACCTGCACTATTGCTTTCATAGGTCTTGTTGTAAAGATGATGTTTTCTGTGCTATGTTGCATATGTTGCTCAACATGTAATAACCAGTACAGTTTCCAAAAGTCTGCATTCAAGAATACTTGCAGTTCAGACAGTAGCACTTATCTTGTTTTGAAGAGATACCTTAATTGCTCAGTGTTAATCCCAGCCTCACTTAACTGACTTTTTCATCATCTCCTCTTCTTTAAGTTATCTGAGCCTTGGTGAATAAATAATAAATCCTACTCCATTTATTATGCAGATGATCATATAGTTGTTGCTTGATCACCTTCAGTTCTGTATATATTAGTTCCTTTGTGTAGCATTCAGATATATTGATGTATCTTTATTTCATAGGAAGCAAGAACAGAATCTATTGCCAGACCTTTGGAGATAAATGAGGCTGAGAAGGTGATGAAAATTGCCATTGACTGTGTTCTGGTAAGCAAAATGATATTTATTTAATTGCAAAATTATCACTCCTGCAAGAAAAACGTAGCTCTTTTTATCAACAGCCTAGTGTTGATAAAAGCACACCTCACCTTCATCTGGCTGGACCGAGCAGTGCTACACCTGGTTAGTTAGTAGCTAATGTTGAACTTCAGTTAACGGCTAACGCAGACTTTGGTCTTTACGTGATATCAGATGTGTGAACAGAAGTTCATCAAGGCAGAAATCAGCTTGTGAGGACTCCTTGTGTCATGGAGTGCAGTCACTGATGATTCTTATGGTTTGTTTGGGAAATCTGTTGTGTTCAAAGTGAACAAGCCTGTTAACTGACTGATAGCTTCCCTGGAGTGAAGGAGGTATCTGCACAGTGGTGATTGTGAGCTGTCAGTCAGAAATCACAGCCTGCAGCGGAAAGGGTAAATGATGTTAGCAGCCCTACCTAGGAAAACATGTTAAGACCTGCTCTGCTTTCAGACTGTTGCACTCTATAACTGTTGCTTCAATATGCAGAAACATTCCTCCAGTTGATGCCTCAAAGAACTGCACTTGGCCTTCCTCGGCCTGTCTCTTGGGAGAAAACAACAGAAAAACCCTCCGCAGTTTAGTCATGTTACCTGCCCCTGTTAGGAGCTCAGTAGTCATGCCAGCAGCTCTACAGGGGGGATAAAAACTGCCTAAATCAGTACAGAAGTGTACATCACACCTACACTGTCTAAGCCATGGAAGCTTGCAGAGTAAGGGCTGCAAGGGCTCTACTGGGTAACTCAAAATGTGCCGGTAGCTCTCGAGTTTTGAAGTTGGGCTCTGGAAGCAGGATGGCTGAGCTGGCCAAGGAGTGAGAAGAATTGACACCGTGCTAATTAGTGCCATGCCAGTGCATCGTTATGGTTCTCGTTTCAGAGGACCTTTTGTCTGTCCCAGTCTTGGCAACACTGTCCTTGCTCCAATGCTTGGGTTCCTGTATTTCTGAACCATTAGTTGCACTCACAGCCACTGTGCAAGTATGATAGTTAATTAAATCCTAGTGATTACTGTAAGTTATTTAACTGCAAGCTGTATCCAGTCCAATTGTATAATTACAAGGAGTGGAGTTCCAGATTTAAACAGCCAATGCATAATCCATAGACACTCCAGGCGATCTTTCCTTATGTTTCTGCTCCCACTTGCAGTCTATATGAGGTCTAAATGTTGCTAATATGCATTGCTATTCTAGGCAGTAGCGCTGATAAACTAACAGCAGCATGGTGGAGCAATTGGCTTCTTGGGAAATATCAATAACATGTACCTCCACTGTTTTATTTCCGGACTAGTTAATGAAATGACCTATTATAGCTGAGCAGCACCTAACAGTTACTGCTGGAATTTCAGCAAGTGTGAAGTCCTCTCTCTCTCTTACTCAAAAGATGCTCATGGTTCCCTGATCATGAACGCACTGAATGTACAGCTCGTTTTTAATAAACTGGAATATTCCCATTTCCTCCTCCTGATTCCTGTAGCACGTGTTGCAATGTTCAGGATGCTTCACAGATTTTTAAAAGACGGATAAAGCAAGACTTAGAAAAGGATGAAGATATTCGGATAGAGTAAGTTCTTTATAAGAGTGACCTTTATCTTGAAGATAATTTTCATTGCCTGGCCAGTTTCTGTTCTAGGTCATTGTTATAAAGTTATTTGATAATCTGAGATGTGAGATTATACAGAAGAATGGTCAGCATCTGAAAGATAATTCCAATTATTCCAGTGCAAGCCATGGTTCACCATCTTTTTCATCTAGGAACAAGTCCAAAAGACTAAAGACATGTTGAATAATGTGGCTTTGGATGAAGCCAATTTGGAAGCCAAGATTGAAAAACGAAAACTGGAACTGGAAAGAAGCCAGAAGAGGCTACAGACTCTACAAAGTGTTCGGTAAAAATTATGAACTCATTATCTACTGCATAAATGATGGAACAGTGCATTGTTAATGCTTAGAGTGGTGAGGAGTGAAGTCTGTAATGAGACTGAGATGATTGCCTGTGGAAGAGAGAGATTCTCTTCTCTAGAAATGCCTGGTCTGGACTGTAATTGTTCATTTTTCTGTTACCATGTATTTGAAATCAGAATTTCAGGGCTGTTAAAAATGGACAGAATATTATTTGTTGGAGTTGCTTAATTGCTGTTTGAGCTGTACAAAATGGCCAGGTAACATGTCTGGTCTTTTCGTTTGTCATTAAACGTAGATTGTGTCAGATGGTTCTCCTGAGAATGGCAACTGGTACAAACATTCTTGCTGTTCCCAGAAGCTTCTAGCATTCTTAGCCACCAAGAAAAAAAGTTCATTATGCATCCCTTGTTAGGATCTGTTCCTCTAGGCGGTGAATCGGCCTGCTGTCAAATCAAGATGTTCAGGTTCACAGTTTGGGTTGACTTCTTGCCCTTAATTAAACTGCATGTTTATACACTCTACAAGATCATGCTCTATATTTTACTTCATATATATATATTTTTATATATATGTGTGTGTATATATATATAAAAGGCAATATTAGAAAAATGAGTGGTGGAAGGAATGACATTGATTCATATACACGTTTTGATCAGTAACACTCTGGAAGAAGTGTATTGGGTAGCTGTGAAGCATCAAACAGCAGTAGTGTTCTCTGGGGAGCAACAGTTGGCTCTGTAGGATAAGGACATCATCACTTACTAGTGTCAAGTCTAGTTACGTTTGCAATGACACAGCACAGTTTTGTAGCACATAAGCCTCCAGCAAAGTAGGTGATGAACCAGCCATGCTACAAGCTAGTTTTTTGTAGTTGTGGTAAGGCAGGATAATTAACTTAGATTTGCCTGCTACGGGACCAAAAGGCTGCCTTTCTGCCTGTTTGGAAGGGAATGGTAGTGGGTACACAACAACCTTTCCTTTGCTATATGTAATTTTTGCAGGGTAGTTTAATTTTGTCTTATACTTTTAGTCTCTGAAGTAGTGTGGAACATTAAAAGGTCCTTTTAGATTAGTTTAGCAGACATGGAAAGGAAGCTGCAAACCCAAAAATGTTCATTTCAGAATTCTGCATATACAGGTCAATGTTTTGCTGAGTAGTTTGTGCTTGTTCTTTCCAGTCCTGCTTTTATGGATGAGTATGAGAAGATTGAGGAGCAACTGCAGAAACAATATAGTAGTTACCTAGAAAAATTCCGTAATCTGACCTACATGGAGCAGCTCCTGGACGATCATCGTAGGACAGAGCAAGAAATGTTTGAGGTAAGGCAGCTTAGAAATGCTCGGAAAGACTGTATATCATGCTGGTTTTGACCTTATAACAGAAAATGTTTTAATACCCCTTTGCCAAAGCAGCACATTACTAGTTGTAGAGCCAGCTCTGAGTGACTGGCAGTTTACTGACAATCCAGTACGTGTGACTGCTTTTGGACAAGCATGATAATACAGCTTTATTTTTTGAGTTAGTGATGTTAAACCAGTGAAATGATGCCTCTTTCCAGTCTCTGACTGCCCTGACTTGTTTTCAGTTGATGGTTTTTGTTCATGAAGATGTTTTCAGCATTTCTGATCTTCCTTTTGCTACATACAGGGTATGTGCTAAGAGTTATTAGGTGCTTATTTTTATCCCCTGCCAACAACTGATGTATAAGGGTTTCTCAGCACCAGGCTCTTCAGTGTCCTCATAGTAGTCCTCTTCAATGAGAAGAGCAAGGAGTATTGGTGGAAAGATCAGATATACTGGAATCCTCTCTCCCATAGACTTCAGTTTCGTTTGGCAGAATTTCTGTTTTCTGTTGACTTGCTGAGTTGTATCAGTTCAGTGCGATTCTCTATTTTGTATCCTGCTGGATAATCTGCATCTGTATCTCGTCTTGCTCTATATGTTCCTTTGGGTGTTTGTTGGACTGCAGCACTTTCAGACAATCTTTCATTCAGCTTCCTGTAGCTTCATGATTTACTACTTTGGCTTTTCATCCTTCTCACAGTCATTACCCACTGTATCTTCTGTTCTTCATTGAAAACACGTTTCAGTGAATGATCTCCCCTTGGACCTTAATACTGATGGGTGTGCTATACTTTGAGTTAACCAGTGCTTCCTCTTTCTAGATCGTCCTGTTTTTTCGTGTGCAGGTCATGTTTTATTTTGTCAACACAACTTACTCCTGTTCCTGGCAGAAATACGTGAGAGCTGTGCCTAATGTTCCTTCTATCTGGCTGTGACTGCATGTTTTGCTTTTGCCGTGTCTGTATGTGTCTACTGATGTGAAAACAAAGTAGTTTGATCCCAATTTTTTTAGTCTTCTCCTTTAAAGTATTCATACCTGTGTCTAGTTACAGTAAAACTGTGACCTGTGCTTAGGCTGCAAATAAGGCTCAGCAACTTTGTAGTTCCCCGTCTCCTAGAATCTGTCTCTCGCAGCTGTGAGAGCTTTTCAGAAAGCCTTGTCATTCTGTAGAACTGATTGTGCCAAGAAGCCTCCCCTTTGATGATCGCCTGCGCTCTGTTCCTGCATGTCTAAGCCACATGGGACAACGTACAAGTGGCTTCATAACCAGGCTTCACGCTGTTCTGCAGTCTGGAGAAAATATGGTGATTTTCATTGTCTTTTGGACTTAGGAAAAGGCATGCTGTATTCTGTTGAGAAGGCTCAAATATTTTGCTGCATTATTTGCTCGAGGGATAAACTAACCTGTCTTTTAAAAGATAACATGGGCATTTGACATCGTTAATCATTGTGAACCAATTTACCATTAACCTCAGTTTTTATAAGCACCATCTCTGTAGACGTTATTTCACATATTTCTAATCTGTAGTCAGCTCGGTGTTTTCATGTGTCTTGTTTTATAATGTTCTAGTTCTTGCCCATATCTTTGGCCAAAAAAAAAGTCCTCAATTAAATCGTAATCTTGAAATGAAGCCTAAAATATGATTTTTCCCTTCTGTTCAAATGCCATTGAGACTTAATACCAAAAGTAGAAATGTTTTGAACTGAGCTACCTGAAACTGTTTATAAATTCATGCATGGAAGTTAGTAATGAGCTGACGTACAGCTCTTCAGGGGATTTTTGTTAAAAGATAACAAGACGAAGAAAAAGCCTTTGTCGTTCAGAGCTGTGCCTGTGCTTAGAATATGGAGCGTACTTTTTATTTGCCTTTTTCTCTTTCTTTCTGTGAGACACCTGGAAATCTACCCATATGGTTTGGCTTTTCATTGACTAGCATAAGCAGGTAACAATGCTTCAGCATTGTGCAGAATTAAAGAATATAAAAGCTTGTGACAAAAAGATGTGGGTTGTTTTTTTCCCCTGCACACTTCTATGACTTGTAATATCCAGTTTGTGTTAGCAGGCATCAGAACTGGAAACATCTTTAAGATGTGTTTTATGCTAAAACCAAAGTACCATCAGGTCTTCTGCATTTGGAATATGTTCTTGGCATGTCTGGTGATCTGTACTTGGGTGTCTCTAACTATGATGCCAAGTGATCAAGTTCCTTGTGCTGAACCCTATGTCTGTTAAATACGTTGTGTTAGCTTAAGCCGGCATGAAGTTTACCTGTCAAGTCTAGTTTATATCTTGAGCTTAACCCTGAAAGTACCCTGGGATCATTTAATGTCACTTCCTGTATATTAGGCTCTTAGACCTTTTCCCTGGGGAGCGTTTGGGAAGACCAAAACTAACAAAAATGAAAAGGAGGGGAAAAAGGTACATTTGACAGTTGTTCTTCAGAAATGGAGAGAGGAGCAAGGGGACCAAGAACAGAAAATTGGAGTATCTAGAAATACTTAGTATATGCAAAGGATGAGACTCTAACCATCTCTTTGTGGGCAGCAATCCGCTGACTCGAGTAGCCATGAATGCTTTGTTGTAGAAGCTGTTGCTTTGGTAGAAGAGGAGGCTATGCGTACATCTCTCTTACAGCCAGATTTTCAGGAGTCCTGGCGTCCAAACTATTTATTTGAAGTCATTATGAGATGTCAGTGCCCAAAATCAGGCTCCAGTGCTTGGTAACTGAAAGAGCATGAAAAATTTGGGTCTTAACTAAACCAAGACACACGCTGGTACAGTCCTCTTTCCAAACCAGTGGAGAGATTTTTGTTATTTTTTATTTTAAAAAGACTGTGGACTGCTTAATCCGTTTCAGATTAGTCTCTTGCCAACCTGCAACACCAGGGCATTTCTCTCACTACTTCTGTCAGCCTTGGTCTGCTTTTCAGGTGGTGCTTCATGACGTTTGGCTACTTGTTGGTGAAGCAAAACTGTGGGTCGTTTATTACATGCTTGGAAAAAAAGCAGTTTGCTCCAAAATGATGCTGCATGTTGTCCTAAGGTTTATAATCTCGTGTCATTTTCAGAATCAACAGAGGAAAAAGTAACAAGGATAATTACATTTAATCCATTTTAATACACGCTCTCTCCAACTGTCAAAAAACACTGAAAATTATGTTGATTTTTTTTTCCCAACCCTGATTTGTCTTGTTCCACCAAACAAATCTTAATTATCTTCTGTAGTAGAAGTGAGAGTCAATTCTTTTATCATTGCTGTGTATTTTGTTAAAGCTTGCCAGGAAAAAGCGACAGCAATGTCATTAGATTAATCCAGCACTCCGTGTGCTGTTCAGTACTGAGGACTGATTCCTGGACCCCTTTCCTTGACTAGGTTTTTAGGGGGAATTTTTGTTCTGATTGAAAGACCGTTGCTGAATAACGAGACTAATCTCTAGCGCACTTAGACTCAAAGCTGTTTTAGTACCCTGCTGACGTTGCACAGCTAATGACCTGGGCCAGAGTGCATTTCCTAATTAGAAAAGTGATTTAAAGTTTGTGCCCAAGCACACAATTTTAATTAAGTGACATTGAGCAGTTGAAGCGCTCCAGCCTTTCCAGACTGCAGCGCTGGTTGTTTGTGTGGATTTTTTTGGTTTTTTCTTCCTTGTGGTATGTGTACAGTTGCATGGAGAGGAGCGCTCTGTAGCTCCTGTTGTCATCTCGAGCTTCATGTTCCTTTTGCCCCCCCAGTGTCCGTAATAATACGGAGCGGTGGCTGGAGAGCAGTCGGCAGGAGTCCCCTGCCAGGCACTGGCCTGAGAAATCTCTCTCTGTGTTAACTTAAAGGCTTGGCGTTGAGTCTGAACCGAATGAATTGCCAGATCTGGGCAGTTAATTGATGATGAAGTTACCACCTGCAGAGCACCTGCCCGTTTGATGTGGAAGCCCTTTGAAATGTATGAAAAACATGAAATTCTTTGTTACCAACTCTCATTTGAGGAGATGTCAGAATCCTCACATGACTCCTCCTTTGAGTGAGTTTCTCACACTTACTGTTATACTCATTATTGGATCCGAGGAATTTAAATAAGAGTCTTTTGTCTTTGCAGTTTCCTTAGCCTTTTTTCATTTTCAGACACCTTTTTTATTCTGTTTCTGCTCTCTTGTGCTGCTCGTGGAATTAATCCATCTTGTTGCATTTCTGTGCAGAAGCAGGGATTTACGTGCCCTGTCTCCTCAAAGATTTGTTCTTATTTTTCTACTTTGTAAAAAGATTCAGCACACTTCATTAATTTTTATCGTGTTTTTAAGATGAAATTGTTTCTGATGCTTAGACATTAAAGCTATTAGAACTTTGGCTGCTCTAAAAATGAAAGTTTCAAGGGTTTTCAGGTTTAGGGGCTGAAATTTTCTATGGACTTATAAATGAATGCCTCTCTTTTAAAGAACGACACAGACTAATACAGTTCAAAAAGGCATTTTTGAAACTAGCTTCTGTAGTGCCAGAATAACTTGTCAGTATCCTTCAGCATTTGCCTTTTCTCTAGACAGAATATGCTTATTCTTTCTTGTACTTCTCAGAGGACATCCCTGAAGTACTTTCGTCTTCAGCTACTTTCTCCTAAGGTATTTTAAGGCTGCTTTTACGCTGGTGCTGTGAAATCTCGACGAAGGAATACCATCAAGTGGTAGACACATGGAAGAGAATGTTCTAAACTCCTCAATCATTATCTTTTGTTTGGGATCTCTTAAACCATTTTTCTTTTCATCATTATAATATTACTATCAGTAAGCAGTCCATCATGATTAAGCAAGGAAAAGCTAGATAAACAGACTGTATTGTGACTTTCCCTTTGCAACCTACCCTCCCCAAATAAAACCCTTTCTTCATTAAACTAATGTGTTTTTTTTAATCAGAGCTCCATACCTGAAGCAAATGCTTTATTCTGAATATGCACATAATAGGAATATCAGAGTTTTGCTGCACTTGGAGATGCTCCTTGGTTCTGCTGCTTTTGATGTCTTTTTGCATTGAGCAATCC